TCAAGAGGCACATTTGTGGAAATTTCTGTTTATCTGCCCCCCCCCCATGTGTTCTATTCCCCCCCCCAAAAAAAATGTGTCAAGCGACACATTTTTGGAAATTTTCGTAAATCCCCCAAGTGCTCTAATTTGTACTCGGTTTGCATTCGGGGGATTTACAAATGAGTGACAACCTTCTCGCATGCTATCAGTTTCCAAACGTGTGTCAAGTGACACATTTTTGGAAATTTATTTGAATCCTCCTACTCCCCTATGTGTTCTAATTTGTACTTAATTCACGAATGGTTGACAACCTTCTTGCATGCTGTCAATTTGCAGAAAACAAAATAAGATCCTTTCCAAAGATGTGTCAAGTGACACATTTTTGGAAATTTCTGTGAATCTGCCACCTCCCAAATGCGTTCCAATCTGTACTTAGTTTGCAATTGGGGAATCCTCGAATGGTTGACAACCTTCTGCCATGCTCTCAATTTGAAGAAAACAAAAGAAGATCATTTCAAAAGATTTGTCATGTGACATAGTTTTGGAAATTTTTGTAAATCTCCCAATGCGTTGTTACAGTTTGGGAAGCCACAAATGAATGACAACCTTCTCGCAAACTTTCTTACGTGACAAGTGACACATTTTTGAAAATTTCTGTGAATTGGCTTCTCCCCCATGCTTCTAATTTGTACTTGGTTTGCAATTTGGAAATCCACGAATGGGTCCAAACCTTGCATGCTGTTAATTTCCATAGATGTTCATAGGAGTTATTAAGGAAAATTCTGTGAATCTGGCCCCCTTCCCCATCGTGTCAATGAACATTTCTGTAAATCCCCCCATATGTTCTAATTTTTGTATTTAGTTTGTTATCCATGAATGGTTGACAACTTTCTGACATGCTGTCAATTTGAAGAAAAGAAAAGATCATTTCCAAAGATGTGTCATGTGACACATTTTTGGAAATTTCTATAATCCCCCCTCCCCATGCACTCTAATTGCACTTGGTTTGCAACTTGGGAATGCACAAATGAATGACAACCTTCTCGCATTCTATCAATTTCCAAACATGTGTCAAGTGATACATTTTTCTAAATTTCTGTGATCCTCCCCCAATGTGTTCTAATTGAGTGGTCGGGCAATAAAATCTTCTCAACAAAATACACTTAGGCCCCAGGCCTCTCTTGATATTCCTCGTTGAAATAATTAAAGATATCAGCTACAACTGATGTAAATCACAGTTACTAACTGTCTAGATATCCACTCTCCGTCTCTGGCTCCCCAAAGTTTTTCTCCCCAAAACTTTGCTTCCCAAAACTTTGCTGCCCAGCTCAGCTCAGCACCCCAATTTCATCAAGTTGGCTCCCCCAACTCAAGTTGTAAAGATGACACATTCTCTAAGTATCTCAGCTCCCCAAACTGGCCAAAGCACTATGTGTAAGGGGCCGTTCACAATTATCAACATTTTCACAAGTTTACAAAGAGTACACTTTTTCAAGACCCCCCTCCCCCTAAAAGTGTACGAAAAAAATGTTGATTTTTTTTCACACAAGTCTATATATAGACACTTGCATGTGACTTCGTCGAACAGCTTTTCACGGTCTGCATTTCGCCACAATCTCTGGCCCTCACACACGACATCTGCTCGTTTGCGTTGATCATTCACAAACACAAAAGCATTTACAAAAATCCATGTATTTGTTGGTCGGATTCTTGTGGACAATACATCCTTGTCGAATGAGGAATTTCAACAATTGATCCAAGTCAACAGTGCGGCTAGAATATTTATTGTCCGGCCGTTAAAAACATGCAGTGGATATGGACTATACATGTACATATACAGTACATTTTCATGTACATGTACATGTACGTGTGTAGGACAATGCTGCCCCTGCTGTACACAATACGTTCATGGGATGCAATGCGGGGCATGATGCAGGGCGCGGGGCGCGACCGGCTTGGCAAGTGCTCGATCGGCATCGGTTGCGGCTGTCGGCTGTGGCGACGGGCGAGAAAACAGATCGACATTTAAAAAAAAAAAAAAGTAAGGCGGGCATTAACCGCCTCCCCCCCCCCCCCCCAGCGTACGGTTTGTACGCTCGTGAAAATGTTGATAATTGTGAATGGCCCCTAAATACAGTTAGAGATCAGCAGTAGAGTTCGCAGCTAGCAGTAGACCAACACCCATCAAAGAACCGTACCCAGAATGAACAAAATCTGCCCTATTTATACCCTATTGGCCCAGCGCGAAAATCAAAAGTACGCGCTAGTAAATAGGCCACGCCCATTTTGTAAAAATCACAGTATACTGAATTCACATAGCGATAGTTTCCCCTAAATTTCTCCAAAATTATACAGCAAAATATCACACAAAAAGGCTTAAATTAATCTTCAAGACATTCCTTACAGTAAATCTGTTGTAAAAATGTGAATAAATTATACTGAATCCCCAAAATGCTCACTTTTACAAGTAGTGAATGTAAACAAACCTTAAGTTCATTGAAGAAAATTCAGTGATGTCACAGATATGAATAATCATGAGACAGTCACTGACTTACCCAACCTTGTTCCCATGGGTACGAGATCTTGCTGCGCCATGTTGCTTCCCATCATGCCTTGCGCGATCTTAACCCCTGGAATTGTGTAATTTAAATGTATCAAAATATGGCACATAACTAGGCAGAAGTTTATCCATTTGACGTGCCGACGCCATCTTTAAAATGTTAAAAATTGTGATTTTAAAGAATCCATCCTTTTCAAACATAAGGTTTGGACATTGCGTTATTTAGCAAAGATTTGTATTAAATGTATCAGTCTTCGAAATGCGCACGCAATATGCTTAGTTAGGGGTTAGTGAAGGAACGCGCATGTGCCCATGGAGTCGAGGCTGTGACTTACCAGACGAAATCTGACAAAAAAGTCATCAAAACTTGCCCAACTTTCAAAGTTGATTCAAATTAGACAACTTCACATCTAAACAAACTACATAATTATTTAGTAAAAAGTTCTAATAATATAAATTACTTTTTAGAAGTCTCAGTTTGCTAGAAAGAAATAATTTTAGAACTTTCAGCCAATCACAAACGTTTTAAGCGCTGCTCATGGGAGCAGCCATGTTGGATTTTACCATCACGCTATTTATAGCACAGCTGACATGTGTAAACAAACACGTTAGTGTACACACAGAATTTCTGCAGGAAAATACTCAAAACTACCTAGAAATAATACCTATAAAAGACAACAGGAATTTTCTAGAAAAAAATGCCAGATCTCTAGGAGGATATATGTAAGATATAGAGTAATAAAACTTAAGTAAAAAGTGGGATTTGGGGGCATTTTCGTCACAGTATGATCCAGAAACCTAGTGTGAACTTGTACCATGTTACGAAGATGTTCTAAATTTTGTTACGTCATCATGACGTCATCAAGTATCAAGTTACAAGCAATTTCAGGGCAAATTTTGACAAAATAGTTTGCACTGTATCTTTTGAACTACATAGAGTATCGTGTTCATTTTTTCGTGAGGTTGTAGACTATGCCGTGTCAAACATTTCTTGTTCCAGCAAGGGCGGATCCAGGGGGGGGGGGGGGGCCAAAGGGGGCCATGGCCCCCCCCCAAAAACGAAACCAATTTTTTTTTTTTAATGTGACATCGCAATAAAGGCAGGCAATGAGTACACCACCATCTTTTCCTCAAAAAAACATTGGTTAAAGTGGTCAGAAATTGCCTCAGATCGCACCACAGAGCATCTAGAATCCAACAATTTTTCGGGGCCCTTAAGCGGGCCCCAAACCCCACGCCATAATTTTTGGGGGGGGGACCAAAATTTTTTTTGGCCCCTCCCAAAATTGTGTTCTGGATCTGGAGAAAACCGCTTGACTTTCACTTCCGCTGTTACCGGAAATAAAAACCGAATGCAAGTCAAAAGTGGAAGCATTTTAATACACACATATTATGAAAGTGAGGAATACCAGACACAAAAAAAGTGTGATGACGTCATCATCCGAAAGGGCGCCCCCTAGCGGCACATCAAATAGAGTTTGCTTTCTTTAATTTTAGAATTTCAAAAGGATCATATTTTAAATTAATTCTATCATTTGATCCCTGTCATATCTTCGTAGTCCAAGTAATGATATCCATTACAATGTTCATTACAATAACTCTAATGCTGTGATGTCATCAAACCGGAAGTTAGGTGTTATTAATAATACAAACAATTATATTTCCCATATTTTCATACGTTATTTTCACTTCACAATGAAAATGTATCCTCTCCGAATTTATCAGTATTCACTTACCGCATTTGACCGATGATGTCATCAAATCAGAAATAACTTTTTTGCGCACATAGAATATTTACTGAAATTTATCACACTATTAAAGATACATTTTTTAACATAATCATTGATTGTACTGGAAAGGGAATTAATTTTGTGAACCTTTGTTCTACATAGACATATATTCCTATCTTAACTGGGCAGTGTATAACAGTTCAGTTTGTTCTTGGTTTTCAATTGGAGCTTCCACAAATATGTGAAACCGGCTGAATGAGAATCATGTCCCAAATGCTGATTTGGGGAATGTGTCATGAGAGGGCGCAATTCAAAATATGACTCGGCAACTTTGGCATTTGAGATTCAGAATATTGTGGTTATGTTTGTTCAGTTTTCTTGAAATATAGAGCATTCATAGAGCCAAAACTTCATCAGGTTAGTTATTAAGCATCCTTGTTTAGATTTTGAGCACTAGTTTGCTGGTTGAAATGAAATTTAAAAAAAAATCACAAATTACACGTTTTAATTGCCAAACACGCTTTCAAGAACACGCTGCAAGAAACAGCTGTCGTATTGCAACTCGTTGTAACTGATTTTCAACTGTTGCCGTAGCTTCCAATGTAGAAACACGATGTAAAAAACAGAATTCAATTGATAGCCTTCAAGAGAGAACTTCACAAAGATAGAAAATGTTTCATTTCCTTATGATTAACTGTTATTCCTGTTTTGTTATTTTTGCTCCAACAGCTGATTGAAATCAACCAGTCTGAGTTAGTTCTCTTAGTTGGGGAGTTATTTGGGTGGTAACGAAGCAGTGGACCAGGCAATCAATCGAGCACACCATTGAGACATGGATCAACCTCCACTGATTGACGGAGTAGTGCTGACTAAGATTGACACCATTGATGATAAAGTAAGTAGCAAGTTTATGTTCTGCATAGGCTTTGACCTTGGTTTGATTCCTCTTTTTTTCCATGGTGTAGCCTTAGTTATCTTTTAATGAATTGAAATATCATCATCATCATCACTTGGTACATGGCAACAGAACTAAAAGTTCAATGACGCTGCGGGGTGTAGACGATGTCTAGTTCGTGAGGGCAGCTTTAAAATTAACAAGGGTCGGTCGTGTAGTAATGTCAAGGGGTAGCCTATTCCAATCACGGATGGTTCTAGGGAAGAATGAGTTCTTGTATTTATCAGTTCTGGATACTATGATGTTGTATGCGTCAGCTGTGAAGTGCCGGCTTGAATGATTGTTGTCTCTAAGTTGAAGCTTGTTGGATGTCACTGGAGATGTCCCTATGTGAATAAGGTAGAACTGGCTTAATCGGGCATTCTGGCACCTTTCTGCCAGACTTTCCCACTCCAGATCTTGGATCATTTTGGTGACGCTAGATTTACGGCGATAATCGTTGACCACAAAACGTGCCGCCCTTCTTTGAACTTTGTCCTACATCTGAATGTATTTAGCTTGGTAGGGGTCGGTGACTGCGGCAGCATATTCGAGGTGAGGTCGAACGAGGGCCTTGTATGCTTTGGCTTTGGTTTCTATGCTGCATTGGTGGATATTTCTTTGAAGAAGACCAAGGATTTTTTTTGCTTTGCTAACGGTGCGCCGATAATTTGGTTCCCAGGAGAGGTTATCCGATATTGTCACTCCAAGGTATGTGTGCTCTTGAACTTGCTCAAGGGTTTCTCCAAGCATGGTGTAGTTATGATGAATCTTGGACCTCTTTAGTCCCACGGACATGGTGTTACACTTTTTGGGGTTAAAGGTCATTTGCCACTTGGAAGCCCATTGACACACATGACCAAGGTCTTTCTGGAGTTTATCACAATCCTCATCACTGGCTACGGTGGTGTATAAGATGCAATCATCAGTGAACAGTCGTATGTTGCACTGGATTGTGTCTGTGATGTCATTGATATATATCAAGAACAATAATGGCCCCAATACAGTTCCCTGTGGGACTCCTGAAATTACTGGGTGCCATTTGGAAGTTTCTCCATTGATGATTACCCGTCAGAAACATGCTAATCCAGTTGAGAGTGTTTTCTCTAAGGCGAGACACCAAAAATACATTGACCGTACGCACGGGTGCGCACGCCAGGAACGCATTCTTTTGTTCCAGCTACCTCCCGTTCGCACGCGTGCGAACAGCATTCCCGTTCTGCACGCGTTCCTCTTCAACAAAAGGCCAGTTACAGTCCGTGCACGCAGGAAGAACTCAGCAACATTAAAAGTATGCGAAGAAAAATGTGTTTAGTCCTCGCCAGAGGAATGTTACATGTACTAATATAAACTGGCACCATCATGGGCAAGCAGCACCATCGGAAAAAAAATTGTTGTGTAAAAACCTTGGAGATTTAATCCAGGCACAATCTATCACGGAACAATCCCAAGAAACCTAACTCCGTTTTTATTATGCTGAACAGTAACGATGTACCCTAATACTGAGCCTGACCTAATTTCGATTTAACGCATTTCTTTTGTTAATTTAGTAGAACGCTGATTGTTATACTGGCCGGCAGCTACATTCCAGAAGTGACTCCATGCACCTGCCTTGTATCAACAAAGATATACACATTGTATAATTTTTTAAGGTCCGCTGTCTATCATTGTGTAGAAATATATTTTGGGGATTCGACTTCAACTCAAGGGTTTTTTTTGTTCGTCCAGTCCAACAGCATTATTTTATTCCGAGTACCCAGCCTAGCGATTAACCCTTCCTAGCTCATCTTGTTTCTTTGGGGGGGGGGGGGGACCTGGGCCAGACAGGTTTTTTTGCCCCACCCGTTCCGACCGCGTTATTCCGAGTATACAGCATAATTATCTAAAAATAATAACTCTTCTCGTCTCAGATTCTTTTTATATTGAACCTAGACGGGATTTTGTTAAAGCCGCGTCCGACCAACCGCATTATTATTGTTACATGTATTCCGATTATCCAGTACATAAACCCTCCCCATCTAAGCATTATTTTTTTATTGCAACCTGCAGCGCAGTGTTTTTCCGCCCGTCCGACCGCGTTATTATTATATTTATTCCGAGTATCCGGCCTACAAAAAGTATTAACTCTTTCCATTTCGGCGTTCTTTTTTATTGGCACCTGGACCAGAAAGGGTTTCTTTTTCGCCCCACCCCAGCGACTGCCTTATTATTTTCATTCCGAGTATCTCAGCATTCTTTTTATTGGAACCTAAACGAGAATTGTTTAAGCCCCTCCCGACCGCGTTATTATTTTTATTCAGTGGCGGGGGAATCAGACAATATTTGGCAGGGGGAAATCGGACAGTATTTAGCAGGAGAAATTCGACATTTTTTTCGCAGGGAAATCGGACACTATTTGGCAGGGGGAATCGGACACTGTTTAGCAGGACAAATCGGACAGTATTTGGTAGGAAAAATTGGACAGTATTTGGCAGGGGGGAATTGGACAATATTTGGCGGGAGGAATCGGACAGTTTAAGCAGCACCGACCGCTGCGGTTTCAATTTTGTAAGGCCTCCAGATTCTAGTCAAATGCTCTGAACCAGTTCCATTTACACTACCGAAGCTATAAAAAGGGCCACAAAAGTTATATCAAATCATTTACAATCGATACTTTTACAAACAAATATGGGAATTGATGAGAAATAAACACCGGGAACTGCTGCCGGCTGCCCCGTCATAGCCCGGCAGCCTGCGCCACGCACGCCGGTGAATGACAACATTTTCCCAAAGCACATGAGCGAGTATGAAACCCACCGTGTGTTGTCTAACTGGAGCGCTACAAATCTTGCTTTGTGGCAACAGATGCTGATTTGTTTTGTCCTAAGAATAAATAGGTCCGTTTTTACCTCAAAACTTATCAAATTGTTGCGATTACTAAGGAGTAGTTGCGATAAAAATTCAAGTTTCGATCGTAACTTAGTCAAAACGAAGCGGACATTTAATAGACAAATCCATTAATTTTGTAAGGGGTGATTTAGTCCCTCTTTTGAGTTTTACATCGTTTCTTGAATACATTTCAAGAAAACAAAATATATTGTGACGTTGAACAACTGATTATGTAATAAAAAAAATGTTTGGAACGCCATACAAATTTTAGTAGTCTTTTTCCTTTTTTTTTAACAGCGGAAATATTGGTAATTATTGTTCCCAAGAAGAACACCCCTTTATCACCACAAATGGTGTGGTCCGCTGGGGAAAGCATGCTGCATGAGCACTGCACTGTACCAGTATCGTACGGCTGGTCGCAAGTGCCTCGAAGACAGCTTTCATCACTGTACTTTTTACCGCTCGGTACCTTTACGTGAGACGTGGTTTCGGTTTGTTAATGACTTTCTTAATTTATAATTCATTTCAGCAACACATCTCTTCTTGTACCAGTACATTAAATACACATGTGAATCTTATTTTTATTCTTCAAGGCTCGGCGTATAAGCCGCCCTGTGTATAAGCCGCAGTAAACATTTTCATGGGCAAATTCAACGTATAAGTCGCGGCTTATATTCCGAAAATTACGGTATGTATAATTAAACCATTTCAAAAATCCTAGCCCATTAAATTCTAAACCCTCAGTTAAATCTCCTGTGGAATCCTGGGGAAAATTGTATACAAATTATGCTTACTTTTGCTTATTTTTAAAGGAATAAGATCAAGATTATCAATAGTCTTTGACTTTTAAACTGAATGTCAAAATATAATATGAATATATTCTACAGTAACATTTACGCAATATAATAGGCCATGCGGTTTTTTTTCCATTAAAAAAAGAGTAAAATTGTCATCCCCATTTATTTTCCCAGCCTCAGCTTGGGGAGAAAGAGACGCTGAACACATTCAAGGGGGAAAAGTAACACAATTTGTCTCGTCCTCTCGATTTATTTTATTTTTTAAATAAAACGATTTCCAACATCCTAGCCATTAAATTCTGAACTCTCTGTTAAATCTCCTATCAGTTCCTGGGGAAAATTTAATACAAATTATGCATACGTTTTGTTATTTTCAAAGGAATAAGATCAATAAATAACCCTTGGACTTTTAAACCGAACTTCAAAATATATTCTTAAATATATTCTGGAGTAACATTTACCATCCATGTGCAAAACTGGGAAGAAATTTCATGTTCATTTCAGTTTCCCTCATTTTTCGTACAAAGTTTCCATGGTCTTTGAAAAAAGTGCCCAAATAAATTCTCAGGTCCAAAAAAGCCTTCCCAGGATGATGATTGATAGCCACATTGTTCAAACTGATACAATGCATATCTTGTTCATTACAAAGTATATTGTATATTGTATGTTCAGCTGAAGGCACCGCCCGGCTTTGTGGTGCCACTAGTAAATGGAATGTTCTTTGCCCCTGAACAGTTTCAGCCAATAAAATGAGGTGTTTATCCAGCAAATAAACACACCATTGATTTCTTTCTTCACGGACCATTAATGTCTCGCATGGCATGCTGGCCAATGGCTGGAATTCCTAGCTATCTGAGCTGCAGGTGCATGCCCACTTGTACATTCCAACCTGGTTGCCTGGAGATACTGTTGCTAGAGAAGCTCCCCTGTGATGTCCCAGACTGCCGGTTGCGTAGCCAGAAGATATTGCATGGAAGAGAGAGGGTGTGACTTTTTCTCGAATGCTGCCGCTTACGGGAAAGTTGTGAAGGCAACGTTTATCATAATTATTTAAGAAGCAGATGTTGATGGATTTCTTCCATGGTGTTTATGAGTGGGGTTTCACACAAGTGATTAAAGATATGTTCCAGTAATTTGCAGGCTACCCACATGAGGGAAACTGGTCTGTAGTTGCTTGGTGATGATTGGCCCCTATTTTTGTATCCAAGGATTTGATGACTGTCACAAACCAGGTTCGACTTAAGAAATAGTTTTGGTTTCTGGGACTCGTCACTGACAAAAAATTTTTAATGAATA